GTCCTAATTGGTGCGGTGATGGCTTGGCAGTTCGCGGACAGCGAAATCGCAGCAATTAATGACTCAAATTACGAACTGCACCGGTGGTTACAGGAGCTGGTAATTATAGTTCGAATGCGAGTGGCCGCAACGACCTATAAGTACCGCGCAATCTGTGCATACATCACCCCAAACTGTACCTGTCTCACAATATTCTACGGTTACCTTCGATTAAGGATTCTCGGCAGAATCCGTAACTTTACGCAAATAAAACTCTTGTTCCACCGATCGCATCTTCTACTCCTGAACTGCTTCCTGGACCTCGCATATTCGTTTCTATCAGCAATATGGACTTTCTTACTGACATAGTAAGCACAAATTGAGTCTTAAAATGAGGCTGCAATACACTGCTTTCGTTCAAATTTTGCTGCCGATAATTTTCAGGTTGTGTAATCAACGGAAAATCATCCCTTATAATGCTATCTGCTCATTGAATAGTCTTCTCGCTGTCTTGATATCTTCTTGCACAGAGTCCATCATTACATTGCATATTATTTCAGGTGATGACAGTGGATCCCAACCTGGTGCGAGAGCTGAATCACAAGGTGCGAAAACTGGAAGAAGAAAACTCACGTTTCAAAAATGCCGCCGAGAAGCCCTATGAAGATACTCTCAGCCTCCTGAAGGTACGACAACAATCTATTTAACGTCAGGTAGATGAAGCAGTGGCGCTGATTTGGTTTGAGGAAAAACAAACTTGGTGCGGGAGGGAGTGAGCCTGACAACGCCAGACGGATGAGACACCTACATCGGTTCGGTTTAAGGAAAAGCAAGCTCGGGAGAGGAAACGGGCAATCACAATGACTGGGGGGAGACGGCTTTTCGGCCTTGATACTAGGCGCAACCAGGGCACTAAAATCATCGGGTGAAGCCCTAATCTGTGATCTCAGGCAGACCAACGTGCGTTTATTTGCGTGTACGGTAGTCACCGAAAATCACGTTACATGCCGACATATGCGAAAGATCTGATACTCTTTCGCTAATCGGCATTGACTCAAGTTGTGATACTGATTATCGTCTTTCGCTAATCGGCATTGACTCAGGTTGTGATACTGATTATCGTGTAGTCTACTCTGAAGTCATTTCAGTCATGATAGGGTGCGGGCTTTTTAACGAGCTTATTTCTGACAGCTAACAAACCGTTTATGCTGTAAGAGTAACTACTAAAATAGTATCAGCGATTTTGACTGCCTGTATAAATTCAGATATATTTTATGGAAGAAAATGCACGAAAAATATTAATTGTACTTGTTTGATAGCAAATTGCGCCTTCTTTCAACTTTATACTCAGAAATAGGGTATCTTTCGGTTTTAAAATAGATGCTCATCATGAGCTTTTTTACAATGGTGAGGTGTTTTTTCATAAAACATCATATCCGTCAATTTATCAATGCTGCCTATACTGCATAAAGCATGTTCCACATCTATGGCAATATTTTATGACAACTATGGGACTTTCTCCTCAAACTGTAGGCGAAAACGTACTTTTTCTTAAGAAGGATGTACACAGTGCGTAGTTCTTAATCCCTGAATTCGAGTGTAGCAGTTAGTAGGTTAGGAAATTATTCGGCAATTGAAAAACTTTTTTTAAAGCCGGAAGATACCGTTTCTTTAAATATAAAATTTAAAGAAGATGCAATTTGCTATCAAACAAGTACAAGAAATATTTTATTCGTGCATGTTTTCCATAAAATATATTTGAATATATAAAGGCAGTCAAAATAAACGATATAAAGGCATACTACTTAAGTAGCCAGTTTTAACAATAGATACGTTTTGCTAGTGGTCAGAATGCAGCTCGTTAAAAAGCCCACATCTTATCATGACTGAAATGACTTCAGAATAGGCTACACGATAATCAGTATTTCAACCTTACTCAATGCCGATTAGCCAAAGAGTATAATTCTTTCGCATATGTCGGCATGTTGCGTGATTTTCAGCAACTACTGTATTTACTGACGCTTTGTCTTAACCCATGAACAATTTTTTATCTTACCTCATGCAGATGGGGAGTGCATACTGAGTACCGACTTCCTACACGCACACACGGGCCGTATCATAATATTTTT